GTTCACAGTAGCCAAGGTTGACCACGGCCAGGGCCTCCTGCCAGCTCACACTAGTCTAGGATGCTGTGCCTCTGCATTTTAAAAGTAGTAAGAGCTCCATGGCTCTTAAAATGCAGAGGTGCAGTGCAGATGGCCCCCAGAGGCCCCAGGAACTACCCCCACCGGGACTCTGCATAGTGGCCCTTTACAAATATCACACAATTAGTCGGTATCGACTACACAATCAGCCAGACAACTGCAATTTAACATGCTTAGCTGAGTTACATCCCCCCGCAGGCTGTTACTTATGATGCAGCCCGTTTAATTCACTTTCAGTGACTCAAAGTGAATCTACACAAGAGATGACGTGATGCCTACCAGCTTGGTTGATGCACCATGGATTTAACCAAGGGCCTTAACAGCTATACAATGAGTCTCTACAGCTTGGCCTGAGGGACGAGGATCTGAGGACTGAGACATTTTCACTCTCTGTAGGTCAGACATGTGGAGGGAGGGGGTGAAGGAGCAAAGAATGGACATGTAACACACTGACCAGTGGGTTATAATGGAACTTCACAGCAGCAATTTAGAAAATATCCGCAGTGGAAATCAAAGATTCCATCCCATCGTCTGCTTCTTGTTAGCTTATTTGTTATTGGAGACAAGCTTCCACTGCATGGTATTTCAGCTCATAACACTGAACAAGTTCTTCCAGTTCTCTCCCTTACCTCCTGCTCCAGGTCAAGCAACGCCTGTCGATAGGGCTGCAGCACTGAATCGAGCCCTGTACAGAAGGCCCGCAAATAAATCCCATGTAATCCACATAGATTCTGCTGGGAAGGATGATGGTCCTAAAAAATCAAATAGTTTTGCATTAGCCGTAGGACATTGGTGAGTGAACTGGGGACTGTGGCCCAGATACCTGAGATATTTAGGAACTTACCTTCTATTAATTTCAGTCTTCAGCTAGGGATGTAAAATCCTGTTTAAATTAGTTAACTGGTTAAATGTTAACCGGTTAAACTTAACTGAGTAAACACGGGTGGGCTGGAGCACCCTGTGCTGGGCTGGGAATCAGCAGCCTTACATGGGGCTGGCCGCTCATATGAGCGGGGGGCAGCCATGGGGCCTGCTCCTGAGTAACAGTTAACTGTTATCCAGTAAGCATCACCCATTAACGGCGATAGGGGCTTTTTTGCGGAAAAGAGCGTCTAGATTGGCATGGACACTTTTCTGCAAAAAGTGCTTTTGCAGAAAAGCGTCCATGCCAATCTAGACGCTCTGTTCCAAAAATGCTTTTAACGGAAAACTTTTCCGTTAAAAGCATTTCCAGAAAATCATGCCAGTCTAGACGTAGCCTTATAGTTTTAGCCTTCACTGAAGGTACCATTAAAATCAACTGTTAATCAGACATGAGTCAGCTGTCAAAGATGGAGCAGTATTGTATTCAGTCCCTTTGGATATACAAATAAGGAACTCTTGAGATAGAAGACTGCATAATACAGTGGCCATTTGTAAATTTCACTGTTCCATTGTGCTGAAGTGAACTGTTCACAAATGTATCTTAATCCATTTTACAGACATCCCTAAGAACATAAGAATGGCCAGCCTGGGTCAGACAGACCAAAGGTCCATCTAGCTCAGAATCCTGTCCGCCAACAATGGCCTTCAGGTGCCCCAGAGGGAACAAACAGAACAAAAATCATCAAGTGATCCTTCCTCTGTCGCCAATTCCTAGACTGACAAACAGAGGTTAGGGACACCATTCTCACCCATCCCGGCTAATAAGCATTGACAGACCTAACCTCCATGAATCAATCTAACTCTTTTTGAACACTTTTAAAGTCCTGGGGTTCGTTTAGACTGTATTCCTCTCTCGAAAGAGAAATGCAAATGAAGGAGATCAAAAATTCAAATGAAATTCGGATTTGCAAATTTTGCAGTTCATTTGCACTCATGTGAGTGCGCTTTTTCAAAAAAAAACTGCACTTTTTTTTTCTTCCCAAAGAGCAGCCTCTGTGAGTGGTGGGTCCCTTGTGGGGCTGGCGCATCCCCCCCCCTCTAGCCGACAGGGAGCTGCTCCAGCCGGCCGAGGGACATGC